AAATATCATATATCAGCACAGTATTCACATCCAATTTATGCAGAATCTGGATATCAAGAAGCTCACAGATGAGAAGAAGGAAGCATTGGCTGCACAATATGCAGCTGAAGCAACTCTTAGAAGGGTTTATGCAACTCAAAAGGATGATGATTCTGTTCCCATTGAGTTAGTCATTGCTCCTCTCGAGGCAGAACTTAAGATGCATAAAAATGAGGTATATATTCAGATATATAATATAAAATGTAAAAAAGAAACAGCTAAAAAATGATTGAAAAATTAATATTCTGGTCAAATAGTCATATAAATTCAAATTCAATGTTTTGAATGTGAATTCAGCTCATTCATCGTCTTTGGAGATTTTGCTAGGTTGCAGCATTACAGGAGGATAAGAGGGCACTCGAGCGTCTTATGAAATCTAAAGAAGCTGCACTGCTTGAAGCTGAGAGAATATTGAGAAGTGCACTAGAAAGAGCACTTATTGTAGAGGAGGTCCAAAATCAAAACTTCGAACTTAGGAGACAAATTGAGATATGCCAGGTACATTTTGTCGTAAACCAAAACCATCTAAAAATGAAGTTCTTAAAAACCAACACGCATGAATATGTGGTATGTTCTCACCAGGAGGAGCATAAGATACTGGATAAGACAAATAGGCAGAAGATTTTAGAGGTCGAAAAACTTAGCCAAACTATCAGAGATCTTGAGGAGGCCATACTTGCTGGTGGGGCCGCGGCCAACACTATCCGCGATTACAGACGGCAGATCACGGAACTAAATGTAAGAACTTATGCAAGCATTTGATTTCAAGTAAGATCTCTAGATTTGGATATTGGTTACTCTTTTTTTTTTTCATTTTTTTGTTTTGTTTTGTTTTTGTAGGAGGAGAAGAGGACCCTGGAAAGAGAACTAGCTAGAGTCAAGGTTTCTGCAAACAGGGTAGCCACCATTGTAGCAAACGAGTGGAAGGATGATAAGGACAAAGTTATGCCTGTCAAGCAATGGCTAGAAGAGAGAAGGATATTACAGGTTTGCCATTGAGACTGTCTCGCAAATAACCGTGTGATCACATAATGAACAATCTCCTTGAGAGATCTGCTAGTTTAGATGAATATATTGATTTTCTTCTTCCTCTTTTCTTATTATTATTTTTTCTTATGTTTATTACTTTTCTTTTCTATTGCAGGCGGAGATGCAGAAGTTAAAAGACAAATTAGCCATCTCAGAGAGAGCTGCCAAGGCAGAATCACAAATGAAGGTAATAAATAAAATTCTCATTTTCAGTGACAAATTTGGAGTCCATAAATTTTAGCTTATCAGCTCTTGGACCGATAAATTGACGATGATGATGGAAAATGTTGGCTGCAGGACAAACTGAAGATGAGGCTTAAGACACTTGAAGAAGGCTTGAAATATGTGCCTAATTGCGCTATCAATGCTAATGGGGCCCCCATGAATGGAAAATCAAGCCACTTCTTTGGGATCCTGTCAAGTAACTCGAGAACAAAAAAGAGATCCACATCACATCCCAGGGCATCCACCCTCTCCCGAAGCCCGATGCAGATGGCGGCTGATGAAAAACAAAATTCAAGCGAAATTCTTATCAATGGTTTGAGAAAGAAAAATACTACTGGAGAAAGTTTGAGGAAGAGCTTGTGGGCTTCCCGTAATAAGGTGATCGACAGCAGTGAGAAGGAAAATGCAGAGATGAACAAAAATGCAATAGTCGACAGTGAAATGCATAAGGGTGAGGAAGTCAGACAATTTGCTGACACTAAAGAAACTAATAATAAAGGTTTAGAGATGGCTGATGTAGAATGTGAAGATATGGTGTCGGGTTTCTTATACGACAGGCTTCAGAAGGAAGTATTAAACTTGAGGAAGGCCTGTGAGTTGAAAGAAAGCACTTTGAATTCTAAAGATGAAGAAATCAAGGTAGAGATATCTGTGTCTTGTATGTGTGTGTGTGTTTTTTGAGATGTTGTGTACAAAACTGGTTACAAAATTTGTTGTTGTTGCAGTTGCTCATGAAAAAGATTGAAACACTGACAAGGGCCATAGAAGTTGAGTCCAAGAAAATGAAGCGAGAAGCAGCAATAAGGGAGAAAGATTCATCTTTAATAAAGCCGGACGGGAAGATTCGAAGCACAAACTCGTCCAAAAGGTTAGCACCAATTATAACAACATTTTTTAGTGTATTCAAATATCAGTTTCCTGATAATCATAATTTAAAGCAGGGGCTAATTATTCTTCCCAGTGACTTCTACAGACAAATAAAGTACTTGGACAACCTAAAAAATGCTAGCGAACCTTTAACTTTTAATTACAAACATTTCCAACGTCTCATCCTCAACTAGTTTTCTATTCTATTGCATAAAGTACATCTCCATCTCCATAGAACTACTATGTTTTACGTTGGCTCGCCAAGCCTATCACATAAAGTACATTTACTCTAAAAAGGAAAAGCTTTTGCCGAGACTGAATATATATATAGAATACTTCTTGTAGCCTGTTGCCTCACCTTGCAGATGAAAAATATATCTGGTGACCCATGTTATTTAATTTTACATCGATTTGTAGGTGCATAAATGCCTGTTAATGATACCGAACAAGAACGAGGTGGAGATGACCTGCATGTCATCACTAGCACACATTCGAACATCCATGGCCTTCTGTTATGTGAATATGAAGCCCATTTGGATGATTTCAGATGCCATAATTAATGTTTGAAGTTGTGGAGTGGTATGTTTAGTTGGTTCATTAGCCGTAATGTGATTTTTTCATTTCTTTTTGTTTCTCTTTGAAGAAAAACAGACTGTCTGGTCTGATCCACTTGTATGCCTGAGAACACAATATGTGGAGAAAATATATTCAATAAATTATTTGTTTCTTGATTTTGCATATTTGGTATCTCCTACTCAAGAAAGACAGAGAAATCACTTGCTAATAACAGCAGGGAAATAACTGCAGCTTCGGAGCTGTGTATTCATGACTGATTTGTCTCTAAAAATTGGATCATATTATTATCTACCAAAGTGTCTACCTTTCCTGCTCTTACATAAATACATGTTTTGCAATCCATTTGATTCTGTTACAAGAGGTACAATCACCATATTACACAGTACTACATTTGCTAAACCTCTCAATTTTCCTTCTGTCAAAAGGAAAATTTGGGTTCCAATTCTGCAGACAAGAAGAAAGTAACAGAAAGTGAAACAGAACTCTCATGAAAAAAAAAAAAGAACTGTAGGGTTCGTCTCTTTTCAAGTCCCTTTTCCTCATACGTTTGGTCGAAATTTCAAGTCAGTGCCAGAAATTGTGACCTCTTTTTTCACAGTTCGGGAATTGGTTCTAAGGATGGCTGCCATCTCTTATTAGTACCCAACTTTCGTCCCGAATGAAGTACAACACGTCTCTGTTTTAGCTCCTCTGCTTTTCTCATCAGCAGCTGCAACTGCTCTTTAGTCACCACTATCTTCACTTTGTGGCCACTGCAAGTGTTGGCCAAGTACCACGACCCTTGAAGCTTTTGCTGCCTTATCAGTTGACGAACAAGACTATCAATCTTGTCGTCGACTGATGATAAGGCTTTCGGCTCTTTATCAACTTCATCACGGCTAAATTTCGCGTCATTTTGCGATACCAAGAATTTTGCTCCAACGCAGTTACCCATTTTGAATCTGTGAACCAATTGAGAAAATACTAACTTACTAAGCGCATTGCCAAATAGAAGAAAATGCTGAGCACATTATATATACTGCTGCTCGTATCATGCCTTGATAAACGTGCAGGCCACTTTGCAATCACGTGGCTCTTAGTAAGAAAGAATTTTCAACTAGTAGTGCAATTAGTCAAGTCATGAAACTTTATCAATTTTTAGTATTATTATTTTTTTTTCTTAAGGTCAGCAACTGCACGTCGTTAGCGGGGTTATTCACGCTTTTTACTCTAATTATCATTCTACTTAATCTTGGGCAAAATCAGAGTACTCTTCATGAATGCATATTAGTGAGCCACCCATGCGACAAAGCAGGCCTGGGGCAGTGCCAACAGGGCCAAGGCCTAAAAGTTCTGAGGGCACAAATAATTGTTAGAAATTTTTAAAGGAAAAAAGAAAAAAAAAAAAACATTTTAGTATAATTGGTTATTAAAATAAGTTAATTTTTTCCTTTATTTTTCAGATATCTAAATTATTGATATCCAACCTGTCAGATACATAAGTAAGTGACACGTGGCATCAAATCAATTAATGAGAGATGATACGCTACAAGTAAACCTGACAAGATTAACCGGACTTTTCCTCCGTCTAGTTAGACGACTCGGACATTGATAGGATCCAGACCAGGGCCTCAGACCACCTTATTTGGAGGTCGGATTACGAAACATTACAGTGCAAATACATTAAATGCAGATCCAAACCAAGGTCTCCGATCAAGGATTAGCTGAATGAAGTACTCAGATACGACACCATAAGTCCGATCGGATTCCAACGTAGATTGGACTTTGATAAAACATGTTATCCCGTGGAAAAGTGTCTGTTTAGAGTGGGGCGCTTTCGACGGTGATGCACATTACCATCAAATCACATTAAATGATACCACGTAGAATCAGTTCTGATACCATGTGAGAATGTGAGAAAAATATGTATCTTGTATCAACACAGGATATGTACATGTATACAAAGATATAAGATATGTCTCCCTTAGGTGGACCTATAAACCTAACCTTAGAATACACAATACAACAAATCTATTATTATATAAAGAGGTAACCCAATAAATCCTAAAATAGTAGCTAAAAAATGATTAGAATTCCCGCCTAAAAATTTACTAAACATAGTAACTTTTTTAAAAAAATTTAGAAATCCCGCCCAAGCATAATTTGAAATTTTCAGTCAAAAATTTAAATTCAAACGTTTAAATAAAGGATTGCCTGCAGATTTTTTTTGATATATTTAATCTTTATCTTATGTTTCAAATAATCTCTTCATTGTAGTTCAAGTTTAATGTACATTAAATATTTATTATTATTATTATTATTATTATTATTATTATTATTATTATATAAAGGTTTGATTATTTTTTAAATAGTAAATATTTTCCACCAAAAAAAATCTATTTAATATTTTGAATAATTAATTTAACAATTTATAGTATATTTCAAATAATCACTTATAAAAATTGCGTCTCATTATTTAAAGAAATAATTAACACATAAAAAGTTTTATTTTTAATCTATTATTATATAAAGAGGTAACCCAATAAATCCTAAAATAGTAGCTAAAAAATGATTAGAATTCCCGCCTAAAAATTTACTAAACATAGTAACTTTTTTAAAAAAATTTAGAAATCCCGCCCAAGCATAATTTGAAATTTTCAGTCAAAAATTTAAATTCAAACGTTTAAATAAAGGATTGCCTGCAGATTTTTTTGGATATATTTAATCTTTATCTTATGTTTCAAATAATCTCTTCATTGTAGTTCAAGTTTAATGTACATTAAATATTTATTATTATTATTATTATTATTATTATTATATAAAGGTTTGATTATTTTTTAAATAGTAAATATTTTCCACCAAAAAAAAATCTATTTAATATTTTGAATAATTAATTTAACAATTTATAGTATATTTCAAATAATCACTTATAAAAATTGCGTCTCATTATTTAAAGAAATAATTAACACATAAAAAGTTTTATTTTTAAGATAATTACTCAAATCATGTGACTTCGGATGATTTACCCAAATATGTCAATTTCGGATGCAATATTAATTATGTGATTTGCTAAAAAAGTCCAACTAAATTGTGTAACTTATTATTTAATAAGTGTTTTATATTTTTCGTGTAATTCTTTTATGGAATGTATTATTTTTTCTGTTACCATATGAAATGTATTTTTAATATAGAATAATTACGCAAATTGTGTAAATCCAACTGGTTTATTCATTTTGCAAATAATTACTATAATTATGGAAATATTGACAACAATAATCAATTATGCGATTTGAAAAAAAAAATTGTTAATTTACTTAATAAATGTTATTCATTTTTTGTGTATTTAATTATTCAACTTGTGGATAATTAATCAAATAATATAAAATGTACATTTTTAAGATATCCTAATTACACAGGTCATATAGATTTTGTTGATTTATTCAATTATAAATTTTTATAAAATTATTCCAAGATAATTGTGTTAATTGCAATTTTCTTTCAATTATTTTTTAATAACTATTTTTTGGGTCTTTTTTATTTTTATCTATGAAAAATGTGGCTCTCGATTTTATTTTCTACGTTGGAAAATTAATTTGTGCTAAAAGTAATTATCATTTTTTGTATTTTATTGATAAAGTATAAAATATAATTCTTTAGTATACTATATATTGATCCAATATACCGGCTTATGGTAAGAAATAGTATCTCAATATTTTTTTTCCATATTGCTAAGCATTTTACTTGATATTAATGAAAGAAAAATCTGGAGAAGGTCGATACTTCTTTATAAATATATATACCAAATTATTTGGTATATATATTTATTAAATCGACCAATCTAATTAAATTACACAATACTATTCACACAACTTAACAACCACAACGAAAAAAAAATTGAGATACCCAATCATACCATAACAATCAGTCCATCTTATACAGTAATTGATCAACAAGTAATATACTAATAGGATTTAGTAACATCCCAACTGATCAACAGTAGAATATTTCTAAATTGAATTTCATCCAATCAAAAAAATTATACCGCATTTAAATTATATGAGAATTTTATTAACAATTAACTAAAAATATAATTGTCAAACAAAGTAAAATTTAATGTATTAAATAAAGTAAACGTTTTACATTACAGAAATCGTGTACTAAAGAATTTGTACAATTTTTAAATTGATTTATTGCAATTTCTTTATACTTTTCATATCAAAAATATGTATGGAATTTAACTAAATTATATTTTGTTTTTCCTTTATAAATTCAGTCATTTTTCGATCATTTGTTGTTATCCTTCATTTGATTTCATTTTTAATATTCTAAGTATTGCTTTTATCTTTTATTTAATTCAAGATGAAGTGCGAATTTGGTTTGATCAACAAAGTCACTAGAACTAAGAAACTACATATGAAGTTGTGAATAATTGAAAATAAATTTGCTGTTGAATACAAAAACTACTTGGAAATTTTCTTTCATGATGAGGAGATAAGAATAAATAACTTATTTTGAATTCATTTTTCCATTGTTTTTTTTACTTCATTATTTTTTTTAACTAAACATGTTTTATGTAAATTTGCACAATTTAAATTTTATCGGTAAAATGCATTACATGTATATTTCATATTTTAACTTTATAAATATTATATAATGAGCATATTTAATTTATAAATATTAATTAATATTTCTTACTCGTGCACCGCACGGGATTCATACTAGTATAACTAACAACTCTTGCAATTAATTAGATGTTGAATCAAATTTCTATATTTTCAATTGTCATTGAAAATCCTTCCAACAATCGAAGCTATGAGCCTTAATCCATTATTTATATGTCAGCCCACATTAATCCATTGTGGCCCTTCATTTTTTAGTATTGGGTCGTCCAAAAATAGCTCACGTGAATTTTCTTTCAATGCTTCGCATATACAAGCATACTCCAAATTAAATAGTAAAATATAACACATAAAACATCAAATAAAATATATTCATCCAAATAATAAATAAGTCATAAAATATAGACGTACGAAGAAAAGTGTATAAAAATACACCATTAAATATAAAAAAAAACATCCACATTTTTCGACCTATATCACGTTGCAATGAGAAAGGTCAACTTCTTCAATTATTTCGTTGCTACAACAACAACTGCATAGATTTGGTTATCCGACTAGTGGAATAGGTAGATAGTTTTTTAATGAAATTTATAAAATTTTTAACAGAAATTCATATTTATTTTAAAAAATTAACTTAAGACTACTGCCATTTAACTCATTCCAAGATTAGAGCTTAGTAATTAAATTTGACAATTGACATGTTAGGCTAAAATGGATGGCAACAGTTTTGGTGTAATGACTTTTGCCCATAGGCTTTAAAATACACACGTTCAGGTCTCAACCTCGAAGGAGAATTGCAAACAATCAATATGATTTAATATTCGCTTTTGTAGTCTTATAGTCAACTTTCTTGGCATTTCCCTCAAGATGGCATGAAAAAGAAGTAGACAGAATAAATTGTTATACCAACAACTACAAGACTTATGCATAACATGCATGGTTAATTGATTTTTGCACAATCCACATTGTTTATTTTGTGTTGTATGACAAGAAGACACGAAATTAAGAAATAGTATCTCCAATAGTTAATGTTAATTGTGGTATAATTTGAAATAGTGTAAAATATAATTAATTGAACAGGAGAGATAAATTGAATAAATAATATAATATATAGTAGAAGTTATTTAAAATGACTTCTATATCTAGAAAAACTTCTAGACATTTTCTATGTCACATAGAATTGTTTGTGTAATGTAACAACAAAATAAAGCAATCCAAAGAACACTAAGAGCATGTTTGTTTATGAAAAATTTTCAAAAAAATTCCAACATTTTAACTTTCCACATTTTTTAACTCAACTTTAACTCAACCCACTATAATCAATATTATTAATATAATTAAATAATATCAATTAATCATTCATACACACCACATCAACCTTAATTCATTATTCATCCACTCACATTATTTTAACTAACCATCACTTCAATCATCTCTCTCCTACATTTACATCAAATCAATTTTAATTATTTTATTTTAAATATTATTTTTAATATACCCACTAACAACTAATCATACCACTTTTTCCAAAATTAACCAAACCAAATTAAAAACAAAACAAAAAATTTTCATATCCAAACATGCTCTAAACATGTTCTAATTATTTTATTTGACACAAAATCGTGATACAAATTGATATTAGCAACCAAATTACGCCAGCCAACATATGTGCGTGCGTGTATATATATATATACATATATATGAAGTAGCTTTATTTTTCTTTACACTTACAGTTGAACATAAATATAATTAAATTTCGATTTCAAAATGACCCAACAACACGCAATGATCATGTTGCACCAATAACCCACCATCTTCTTATCCATCCATCATTCACATGATGGAGCAGCCACGTGGATTCTCATCACTGAAGTAGTAATCGCATGATTTGCTGATGTGGCATCCCCTACCATACCCATACCCACAGTAGTCATCATAGCATGGCTGCGGAGGTGGCGGAGTTCCATACCCATGATAACATGGGCCTCCACCATAACCTTCGTAGCACGACCCGCAACACGTGCGCACCGGAAAAGCCGGTGGGTACCAGTTTACCGGTACCGGCTCCGGCAAAGGAGGGTTCGGTTCAGGCATTGGAATGGCCGGCCACATTATTGGCTCCGGCGGAGGAGGGTTTGGTGCCGGTGCCGGTACTTTTGGGGGCTCGACTTTTGGAAGTTCTTTGGGCTTCTCTACTTCCTTGGGCTTTTCTTTGGGCTTCTCCACTTCCTTGGGCTTTTCTTTGGGCTTCTCCACTTCTTTTGGTTTTTCGGGCTCCTTGGGCTTTTCTATGATTGCCAACTTGGGCTTCTCTGGTTCCTTGGGCTTCTCTATGATAGCCACCTTGGGCTTCTCTGGTTCCTTGGGCTTCTCTATGATTGTCACCTTGGGCTTCTCTGGTTCCTTGGGCTTTTCAATCACAACGGTTATGGGCTTTTCGGGTTGTTTGGGTTTCTCTGGTTCCTTGGGCATTTCAATCACAACGGTTTTGGGCTTTTCGGGTTGTTTGGGTTTCTCGGGCTCTTTGGGTTTTTCTGGCTGTTTGGGTTTCTCGGGCTCTTTGGGCTTTTCGGGCTGCTTGGGTTTGGGTGGCTCTTTGATCTCAATGCTTTTGATGGCTGGGGCACCTTTGCAGCACAATTTGTCTCGAATTTTCTCAGGGTTGCAGCAGAAAACTGTGATTGTGACCGTGTTGGCCTTCTCATCATATACCTGGTCTCGAATTTCTTTTGTCCCACAATTTCGCATATATCACAAAATAGAAACAACCTCAAATATTTTCCCCAAATAAGAAGAAAAGATGAGAAAATTAACATTTAAGGTGAAGGGGGCATGAAATGGATCCTCAAGGTTGTAGAATGTGTAAAGTTTTCAATTAAAAAAAATGTCTAATTAGGAGTATTTAAGTAATGTTATCGTATATTCGAGCGGCTAATCAAATGCTTGAGTCGTACAATTTATATATAGGCTCGAGCTCAAACTCGAACTCGAGTTCGAATTCGAAATGCTCGAGCTCGGTCAAACTTGAGCTTGAGTCTTTGTGTTGACTCAGTTCGCGAACACTCGACTCGTTTGGAGCCTTAGTCAGTTAGTTGTCGTATGTGTAGGGTAGCCTAATGAGCTTTAAGAACTTAATAATGCATAAACTAATTACTTCTATAACATCTTAACATAAGTATAATAAGATATAGAGATTTCGAATTTCACAGTTACATAAAAAAAATTTCACTCAAAAAAAAAAAAAAAAANNAAAAAAAAAAAAAAAATGTCAGGGGGTCGTTCGAAGCTCACCTAAAATCTGAAGACCATTGTTGCACTATTTGTAATGAGAGAAGATAACTGGACCTTTTTGTAATAACAATGAATCTCAAGGTAGTTTTGCGCAATTAAACACGACAAAGTTTTATGGAAGACAGTTGTATAGATAATACGACTTGAGGGTTGAAAATGAAATAATAGTATAAAAGTGTAGTAGATTATAACAGACAAATGCTTTACGTTTACGACTAGGACATGCTTTGCTATTTATGATTTAGTGATGGATGCATTTGCGGTGCACAGTTGACAGTATCATCGATCAATTATTGACAACACAATAGGAAATTATTTTGATCAAATAATAAAAAAGCCAGGTGTAGAAATTAATAAGATGCACGATCATAAAACTCTCATATATATACTAACTGATACGAAAAATCAAATGTAAATGAAAAAATTGAGGATAAGGTTGACTCACGGGGAAATTTGCATAGAACTTTCTTGACCTTTTTGTAACAGCAAGAACACTGGAGATCAACCTTGAGTACCATGACAGTCACCTGTTTCATTTCATCCCAAACAAAATAAATAAATGAAGCTATGTATAAAGCAGAAGTACAATTCAATAACTGGTAAAACGGATAATTCAAACTAAAACCAGGATCATAGAATAAAAATGTTCTGATAACCATATAGGCAAGAAATAAATTTTTTGAATTTGATTAAAAGTACTTACTTTTCAAATTAATGGGGTAAATACAAAAATTTTTAAGAATAATATTATAAAAGAAGCCAGCTGCATACCTTCTCACCCATTGCTAGAGAATTAGGAGGCTATAGATCTGATCACGAGGTTGAGAGAGACTAATTTTGAGGNAAAAAAAAAGGAATTTGGCAGCCTTGTGAGGGAGATGAAGAAGAAAGTGGGTGACTAATTAAGTGGGAAAATAAAAAGGGAAATTTACATCTATCCTACAAGATTCTAAAAAAATTGTAAAAATACAATTCATAAACAAATAATTACATCTTTACCTAATAGATAATATATAACTACACTAATGCCTAAAGTCAGTTACCATATTCATTCAACCATCATCCCCCTTTTTATGGGCATGATTAAGAGAGAGATTGACTCATTTAATTTTCCTTTTTATGGACTTGATTAAGAGAGAGATTAACTCCTTTAATTCCTTAATTCGCGTAATTGTAATTCGCGCAATTGTAATTCGCGCAACTGTTCAGGTGAGTATATGTTGGGTTTATGTTGGTATATATTCAGTATATGTTGCAATGAAAAAAAATATCTTCGTTCAAAAATACTATAGCAAAAAATTGTAAATAATTATAAATCATCATGTTCATTCCAACTTCAATCCCTTCACCCCGGGTGTGATTTCCGCAACTTGACTAGGAAACAAAAAAAAAAGCTAATTTGTACATAAAATCATGTATGGTAATTCGCGTAGCTGTCCAGGTAGGTATATGTTGGGTTTATGTTGGTATATATTCAGTATATGTTGCAATGAAAAAAAAATGTCTTATACACATACTGCACATATACTATACATATACTGCACATATACTATGGCTGCGGAAATAAAGAAAACGAAAGGCCTACAGAAATACAAAAAGATGTAATTTTAACGTACTAAATGATCTATACATATACTGCACATATACTATACATAAAATCATTCCCAAAGTAAAAATTTTCCTATTAGGATTGATTCGATTGATACGACGGGTAAAAATCATTCCCAAAGTAAAAATCATTGACGGAGGTGATGCCATACGACGGGTACTGACTCGATTTGGATCTGAAATCATTCCCAAAGTAAAAATTAGGAAAAAATGAAGAAAAGATTGATCAATTGAAAAAAAAAATGGTTGTAAAATCGTACCTTTTGTATCCGAGGATTGTTGCACGGACATAGAGCCTGACCCGCTCGCCTTGGCGCCCTTTCACCATTGATGCAGTCTCTGAAGCTTTTCTCGGCTACTGGATAAGATGAAATGATGATGATGGACTCGTGAAAGTTAAAACCCTAGATTTGAGGTTTTAATGTGGAATACATATGATTGGGCTTTGGGCTTGATATCCGTGTAATTAGTCCAAATGGAAATATACATATGACGGTGAGGTGGTGATGCCATTGACGGAGGAGTTTTTTCTTTCTGAAGGAGATTTGGTTTTCCGAGGATCGCGTGAGAGGAGGGACGTGAGTGCAGCGGTTTTTTGTTGTGAATTTAATTTCCTTAATTTTAGGTAAAATCTCCTTAATTATCTAATATAACTGCCTAATTATAATTTTAGGTATATTAGCAATAATTTATGCTTAGTTTAGTAATTACATAAATATTTAACTAATGGTTGTAAATTTATAATATATTAGTGATGCTGATGTAGGGGGTGCAATTTCCTCAAATAAAAATGGGGAATAATATTGTGTGAGGCCTCGTCTGGTACATAAAGTAGATGTTGAAATTTAATATAAGTTGTCATAAAAATTTAACTCCGTATAGAGGGTATTGGGCGGGCCCTTAAATTGCTGTTTAATTACTCTATGTTTGCATGTGGGCTTTGATAGCCACTCCTCACCTTCTTTAAATAAATTCTAATTACCCTCTTTTAGTTCATACATTCATAAACAAGCAAAAATGGCACCTTTTAGCTGAAATTCTGACATGTTTAGGGTTATATGGAGCAAAAGTTGTATTTTTGTTTGGGACAAGGTAACCCCACATGGACATGGGCAACCATGAATTTTATCTAACTTCAAATATTAATCATTATACTAAGCACATGTTTGGCATATAAATAAATGAAATTATTTGCAACACATATCATTAAGCTTTTTGGGGGCATTTTCAATGCTTAAATCGGTTAAAATCATGTTGTGACGACAGATAGTAAACATCGAGTAGCTTCTGTAGAAGATAAGTAATTTTCTTGTAAATGCTGCCCAAAATCACAAGAAGTTGCTACTTGCTAGCACTGTTCTAAAAATCGGCCTAGGCGGCGCCTAGGCGCTAGGCGGTGCCCGGGCGCCTCCGATTTGTACAAATCGGTAAAAAAAATCGGCCAGGCGGCTAGGCGGCGCCTAGGCAGGCCTAGGCGGCCCTAGGCGCTCCTAGGCGGCCTTGGTAGGCTCGGCGGTCAGGCGGTTAGGCGGCGTCTAGGCGGGCGTAGGCGGACTTAGGCGCTCCTAGGCGGGCTCGGCGGCAATTTTTCAATTTTTTTTTTAGTTTTTTTTATTTTTTTAAATACTAATTACATTATTTTGTTCTCATGTTTTCTTTAATATATATTAATATTATTATTTGGACTTTGGTGTGTAAATTTATTATATGTTGAGATAATTTTATTTTGTAATAGTTAAAATAAATAAAAAATAAGATATTTACTATTGATTTCTGGGCCCCGACTAGGCGTCGCCTAGGCCCCGACTAGGCGCTCTAGGCGCTAGGCACTGGTCGAGCGCCTAGCGGGCGCCTAGCGACTTTTAGAGCACTGCTTGCTAGACATGTTAAATGGGACATAATTCGTGAATCTGTTTGTGTTGCCCGAAAAAAAAGTGATTAGGTCATTTAGTCCTTAAGGCAAAATACTATCCAAACTCTTCTCTATTTGAAGCTCAGAGGAAGGCCAACTCCTCATGGCTGTGGAATTGTTGGATTTCTGTTCTGCAAGTGTGTGGGAAATGGATGAAGGTGGAAATAAGGAATGGTAAGTCTATCAGTGTGTGGGATGAACATTGGATTCCAACAATGCAGGGAAGGACAATAGAAGTACTACCAGGCATGGATAGAAATATTAAAATGGTAAGTGATCTGATGACAGAGGGATGGATACCACTGGGATAAGGCCAAAGGGAGAAGGACATTCCCTACCACAATCACTGATCAGATTCTCAGCATAGACAATTTGGATCCACAGAAGGAGGACAAATGGATTTGGACTCTTAATGGCAAAACCCACCTACCAAAAATTAATCACAGAGAAATACTTGAAGTTAGATAGATCCCAAGAAAGTGCAGACTTGAGTAGGGACATGAAGGTAAGGAACAGAGGTTGGAAGCTTAAAATCATGGGGAAGATTAAGCATTTTCTATGAAAATGCTGCAATGGCTCCCGCCCAGTCATTACGAACCTCAAAGCTAGGGGATATCAGATAGATACAATTTGCAGATGCTGTGGTGAAGGGGAAGAAACTGTTGAACATCTGTTTCTCCAATGTAGTATTGCCCAAGATACATGGAAGATGGCTCCAGTCAGTTGGGAAGGCCCACAGAAGCAGGAATCCTTTAAAAGCTGGTGGTGGCAGGTGTCTCAACTTGATAATTTGAGGTTTCTGAAGCCCAAATTCAACTCTCGACATACATCTTATGGTGGCTTTGGAAGTCCCGGAATTTATGGATATTTGAAGGAGTTAAACGGCCTGCACATCTTATTGTCCAAGCTGCTATCAGGGATTGGCAAACTTTCTTAGGCAGTAGGATGGTTCAGGCTAATTATAGGTAGTAAATATTGTTGATGGGCTAAGATTTGTATCAGTGGTCCATCTGATTATGTATGATTGTTTTATTTGTGTTGGCAGGAGTAAAGGGCCGTGGTATACCACTGCTTTACCCTCTAATGTTGACTTTAGCTATGTCTTAGTCTTGTGATTGTGATCTAGACCACCTGAGTGTGGATCTCTCAATTTTGGCCTGTATTTATAAACATTATATTTTGTTTGCGTGTTCAATGCAAGAGGTGCTCTATCGATTTAGAAAAAAAAAAAGTCATTTAGTTCTTGGTTCATTTAAATCAGAACTTTGAATCACGACTTTTTTTGTTCCAACTGTCTAGTTTTTCAATTAAGGCTTGCCCACAGGTTAACCAATTAGCCCGTATTATCGTAATTAAATTTTAATACTGATATGTATTGCTATAAGGATAGAACCGTTTTTACATATTTTTGTTCACTATATAATATACAACTATTTATTTTATTCTAAAAGTATGTTTCATACTAAACTTTGTTATTATATAAAAAATGGTAATAGAATTACTCTTACCTTTCGTATATAATAAGAAATATTTAATACATTGGAATATTATTTGATAATTTTTTTTTTGTTTTATTAGTGTAATTTAACTCAAGTTCATATATATATAAAATCAAATATTGTGTATATGTTTAATTCAAACTCTTGCATTTAAATAAATATTGTTTAAATAAATATATTATTAATACTAAAATTTCATACTTAAACAAGAGAACAAATAAAAATATGATAATAAAGTATGTTATAAGATTTAATTTTTGTTAAATAATCATAACATGTAGAGTGTTTCATAACAGTACTTTATGATAAGCTAGAGATATCGTGGTCTCGACCTTGTTGATTGGCATGCTCCAAGTACTCTGGTGAATCCCTATGAATATCAATAATAACTTAACTAATTACTTAAGATTTTGGGTATTAAATAAATAAATTTGGTGCGAACTCAATGTACTTGGGCCAACTGACTTTAAGAGGAGCGAAATTTCATTTTGTACCAAGCGGTACCCACGTGAGGGGTGGCCTGCGTCGACTCGCATAGCCCGCCTAATTCCTTCTTGACGGCAACTATTTCGTTCGTCATCTTGTGACGTACGTGCTCTGTAGACGACGCCCTGGCTGATTCTGTCGAGACACTCGTACTCGTCTATGCTTGCGTAACCGGAAATTGATGATTTCTCGACCGATCTTCTCTTCTTAAGACTCTGAACATCATCATAGTCGTCGTCGTCATCGGGCAACGGCACCTCCTTTTTCTTGATATGAATCCCGGCGGCCCTTTTCCTGCCCGGAAAAAACGCCTCGTATCCAGACTGACGTACTACTGCACCTGTCGCCATGCTCTCGAGATTTTTGGATTGATTACACTAATTTTCTTGGAAAATATGGATGTAATTACTAATTAGGCGGTGAGTGAACAGAGAATTGTATTTATGATTGTATCGCTCCGTATACTTTATGGTAACTTTTACATTGTATTTGGAATATTATAATCCTACTAATCATCGTATTTGGATTCTTTTAGGTAACTTGTTCTCCAAACTCTTATTTTGTGTCCAATTATTTCGTTTTTTGGTACAATGAACTTTCCGGTTTTCGAATCCCCTAGGAGATCGACTGATCCGGAATCGAGCCGGGTAGGACCACAAGGGCGGCAAAGCTCTACCTCAAGAGTTTTAACACAGCTGCATTCCCAGGGCTCGAACTCGAGACCACTGGTTAAGTTGGAAGAGAGCCCAACCATCTCACCCACATGCTCTTGGGTTCCAAACTCTTATTTTGTGTCCAATTATTTCGTAAAATCAGCTTTTAACTTATTATTATTATTATTATTATTATTGTTATTATTATTATTATTATCAAATTGTCTCATGTTGAATCTCAAATAAGAAAACATAATAAAAATACTATAACATAGACCTAACCAATTTACAAATATATTTTCTAACAAATATACACTAGTGCGTGGCCCGTGCGATGCACGGGAAAACAATATTACGATTGTATTATAAACTAAATATATAAATAATAATCATGATTTATCCATTGTTTTTAAATTAAACCGGGTTGGACACCGTCCGACCGGATGGACCGAGAACAGGTTCATAACCAGTCTAGTTCGCTTGAATAAAATATTTGCTCTAAAATCCGTCAACACCAGTCGGTTGGACTGGTAGGATCGATATGATTTTTTAAATAAATTTTGTTATATTTAAAATTATTTTAAATAAAATAGAGATTTATAAATTATTTATCAATTAGTTTAAACATTTGAATTTATAAATTGTTTAAATATCTAAGTAACATATTTATTTAAATATATTACAAAAAGTACTATATATATGTATATATATATATATATATATATATACATTAAAATGCTTATTATTAAAATCTGAACAAACCACGAATGATTTAATAAAATAGCTTGATCGTTTCAATGACGTCCAGTTCTGAAAACCTTATATTTACGGTACATTAATAAATATTATAATAAAATATTATTTAATTTATTTGATAAAATGATATATAAATATTCATAAATCATGAAACATGTTATCATAAAAGTATTGTTAATACGATTATTTGAAGTTTGGACTACATCACCTTCACGTAATAAAGTATTTTCAATATAAAATTTATATTTAGGTTCAATAATCGACTTGGTGTGGTCGAACTGATACATAACTTAGTCAACTTTGACCAACCAAGTTGTGTCAAGTTTTTTGACTATTTTAATTAGAGAAATACTATAGATACATAATAGTATACATAGAGGTGTACATAACACTTACATTAAGTGGGTCCTATCACAAATAAATATTAAATGGACCCCACTCCACGTGAGTGTTATGTACATCTCTATGTACATTTGTTATGTAATTATAGCATTTTTTTTAAAAATATCACCTAAAAGTAATTCAATCAACATTGGCAGTACCCTAATTCAATCACCCGATTTATCCGAATAAATTTTCTTATTTTCTTTAAATATATTTAATTTTATGAAATACAAATATTTTATGATTCATATAATAAATTTCTACACCAAATGATAGTATATTAGGACTATAAATTATAGATCTAAAGAGGAATTAATTATTTTTACTTTATGCATATTGTTCGCTAATTATTTTCACTATCCGCAAGTGTACGGAGTAACTATAGGTAGTGGCGAGCAAGGTCGTATTCCACAGAGATTGTAGTTAAATTAAGTAAGTACTAAAATAATGACGACTAAATATTATCTAGACTAATGAATTGGATGATGATTATTAACTAAGAAATTAAACTAAGAACTAATCTAACTAAAAATAAAAATAAAAATAAACAAAGAAACAAAAGTAGATTCTAGGCTACGCGTTCCTCGGAATTAATTCATGAAACGTTTATATTCAAACAAACCTTATTTAATTTTACCAATCGTAGAGATAATCGCTAAATTGATTTCAAACCTTTCTCTCGAACAAGTCAAATCGTAGATATTAATTGTTATCTATCTCCTCTCGGTCTCAAGATGAACAACTAACTCCCATAAGTTCCTAGGATTTTCGTTCTCTGGCAAGGTCCTATCAACCTCTCGGTCTGTTTATTCTCTTACGTTATAAATTTCCCAATTCTAGCAATCAATTATCTCCTCTCGGTCTCAAATCGATTACAAATATGTATTCATAGTGGCCATCTACTCACACAATAAAAATAAGCACAAGAAATTCATAAACGAAAGATAAACCGGAATGGAAGAAATAAAAACTAAATCATAAATTAATCCGAGTACTAACAAATCCTAGAATCTAATATAAACTAGCCTAGAAACATGATTTCAAAATAATAAAAATAGATATAAAACATTGAGTTCGAAAGAGGAAAAGAAAAAGAAAGAAAAAGCTTATTCGGCTCCGTCGATCCCTTCTTCCCGGCTTTCTCCCTCGTCTTGCTCGTGTTTCTAGCCTCCAAAAGTCTCAAAAATATGTCCAAGACTCCTCAAAAACGTGCCCTAGTGTTGTTTAAATAGTTGGAGTCGAGTCCTAGTCGAAATAGGTCGAAAATACCACAAAAATCGGAAAAACGCGTAAAACGCGTATTGGTCGCGCCCAGGGTCACACGACTCGTGTCATAAACCACACGAGGCGTGTGACAATGCCGAGAGCAGGTTAGCGACCCGTCAGAGTGACACGAGCCGTGTCTCGGGCTCACACGACCCGTGTGTACCTGGGAGTTCAAAACAGCTCCAAATCTTCAGTTTTAGCTCGTATAATGCTCTTCATCGGTTTTCCGGCGTCCAAGGTGGTCGGAAGGCGGCCCAGATGTCGAAAGTCGTTCAGGTCGCCGGCCATGGCGAGTTTCGTTCGTGAAAATCCGGCCATTCTCGGTAGCATCTTTTTCCGCGCGAATTTGACGTCCAATCGGCTTTTCCGGTGGCTGATGGCGACGGCGGTCTGAAAGTGGCTTCCGGCGGCTGGGTAGTGGCGTGGTGACGAGTTGGTGAAGCAGCAGCCGGTCATCAATGGCAGAACGTGCGTTTCCATGGGTGAAGAGGAAGGAGATGAACACTTAGGTAATGAGATGACTAGTTTGCCCTTGACTTAAGTTTTATTGGATTGGGCTTTTATTCTCATTTTAATGGTTACGAAATGGACTTATTGTAGCTAATTTTAAAGGCCCAAGCTTCCATATCCTAGGACATGTAATTGGGCTCGTCGCAAAGCATAACTTGTGTTCATTTTTCGACCGTTTGTCATCGTATTTGCCTCCGAAAATTATTCCGACTCAATTTCCTGTCAAAACTCAAAATAACACCTCATCATAGCTTAATTAAATTAATTAAATAATTAATTAATTAAATAATAATTAATTATATATCAAACTACGACGAACGGACACGAAAATCACTACAAAATGCATGTAAATATGACGCATGTCACATATTCAAAAAAAATAAACATAGTAATTTTTAAACAATTAAGGTTAATTGATCGATTATGCAATTTAATGAATATTTTTAGTATTCAATATTTTTTTTAAAGGCGCAAATATAAAGACCGAGAATCTAAAACTTTTGTTATATTTTGAATTGAGATTTTATAAATACAAAGACTGAGATTTTAATGTTGTTCATTGTTTCAAAAAAAATAAATAAATACAAACATACACACTTAATAAATCTTAGCTAGATTTTTTAAATAATAAAATAAACTTTCAAAACTACCTGTTCTTAAGCAATTCAAACTTTAAGGGGGCATCTGTGATTCAAAAAATATTAAGGGATTATCATTATATTTAAGAGAAATCCCATTGGTACTTTCTGCAATGAACACTCGTTCAAATGATGTTCTCATAGACCTAACATAAAGTAGAGTTTTGTAGTTAACCTTTAATTCTGTTGGCTCTCTCCCACGTTAATATTCATCTAGTTTTTCTATTCACATGAAGTTCTAATTTAATTTAATTCTTTCAGGATGCCTACATACTGCAGTTGAAGCTGTTAACATACACACTTAATAAATTTTAGTTAGATTTTTTAAATAATAAAATAAACTAAAGCCCGAATTTAAGGTAGCATTTAATGTTGTATGATTTAAAAAAAAATAAGAAAAAATCTTTAATATTGTTATATTTAAAGAATCTAAAACTTTTGTTAAATTTTGAATTGAGATTTTGTAAATATAGAGACCATGATTTTAATGTTGATTGTTGTTTCTAAGAAAAAGATAAATATAAACACATACACACTTAATAAATCTTACTCGGATTTTTTAAATAATAAAATAAACTAAAGCCCGAAATTTAAGGTGGCATTTAATGTTGTATGATTTTTAAAGAAAAAATAAGAAAAATAATAAAACTTACTATTTATAGACTGCATTAAATTATGACCTATTTTTTTGCTACTATTTTTGGTAAATAGTAATTCTTATTATATATATATAGGTACCTGTAACTTAAATATCATACTTGACAAAAACAACATAAATAAAAGTATGACATTTCATAAATATATTCCTTTGACGAGTTGGACAAAAACAACATAAATAAAAGTATGACATTTCATAAATATATGCATTTGACGAGTTGCTCCGCTTAACAGTTTGACCGTCTCATACACAAATTTGTAAAGAAAAACTATACTTCCGACTACCACGATACCATAATTAAAATCATGTTTTGTTCAACTTTTTATTGTTTCATTCACCAAAAGGATACTAGCTCCAATAGCGGCCACAGTAATTTTGACGGCACCAGCCCCAGCAACATCAACATCGATGGCGGCCGGATCGCCGGCTCATCGAGACCGAAACTGATCGCGCAGTGTTAAGAAAAACATCTTCAAAGAAAATGA